CAAAAAGCACTCTCGATAAGGCTGTAAATAGGGTGGCTACAATACCCACAAAGGCATCGGAAAGTTTCAGCAATTTACTCAAAATGGTAGTTCCAATAAGGGTACCTAGAAAAAAAAACATTATAATTTTCCACTTTCTCCTCCCCTTTCTCCGCCTCTCTTTGAATCAGCATATCCAACTTACCCACCACAGTCAAGGCGGAATTAAATGCTGCGTAGACGCTATAATCATTGCCATTCCAATTCAGTTTTTTAAATGTAAAACTTTTCCAGAATTCACCCTCTCCGACTGCCGGACCAATAATACAAATCTCGGCCATAATTAAAAGTAGCAACAACATACGACCACGATTTGGACGTTTTTTAAATGGAAATTTCACATAATCCACAACCAATGTGGGATCAAAGAAATCCAAAAGGGCATTACGTTTTGCGGGTTTTGAGGTTGGAGATTTGTCCACGGTATCAATAATGACATTGTTTTTGTGTCTTGGTGCAGTGGGCAGATCTTCTAGTTGTGTCACTTCATAGGCGGGATTTTCTGTGCCCGATTTTGGCGAGGCATCTGTGGTGTCCGTCTTCGTTGCCAGTGGCTTGAGTTCTTTGATTATGAATATAATATAGAGCAAGCCAATGATGTCGAGGGACAAGGCGAAGATAAAGGACCCTTGTGGGCGAAACAATAAGAAAAGAAAATTATTTAATAAAAAATAAAATAAAATACTGTCCTGCTCAGTACTTACATGTATAGCCTAGATACTTGAAGAGTATCCCACTCATGGGTTGACTTATTAAGGGTATGACAGTGGTAAACACACTATAAATGCCGAACCTGAAAAACAGGAAAATATATATTAATTTCAAGGGCAGTTTTTTTATATCCTGCACCAAAGGGGAACATATTTTTTTTCAAGGACTAACCAGGCATGGATTTTTTAAAGAAAATATTTTTCCAAGCGCCAACAAGACGTACAAGGCATGAATATTTGGAATAATATTTTTTCAAGAACTCTTTTTGTCCACTTACCTAAATACACGATCTGCTTCCGGAGTCGATATTGTCATATAACTATCAATGGCCATGAAGAGTAAAGTGCTTCCACCAAACATGTTTGGGACAATTGCCTCACTGTATGCTCCAAATTCCATTGGGATTTTATCGAAAAATATTGCCGATACCAATAGAACTGCAATGCGGAATTGTTTATTTAAAAATAGTAAATTTGCATATCGTTTTTTGCAGGGTCTCTATACTTACACACAAACATGAAACAGTCACCGATAATGGGGAATAACATACAGGCCTTGCGTTTATTATAACGATCACTCCAGCCGCCAGCGAAAAGCATCACGATAATAGGGAAAATTGAACCTAGAAAACAAGTGTGTGTTGGGGGGGATGTGGTGTTGGAAAAACAAACATAAATTAATAAAAACCAGTAAGGAAAGTAGTAAAGTCGGACGGAGCCGACTATATGATACCCTTCACCACAATGAGTATATTAAACAGGACTATTAACATGAAATTGGATGAAATATAATATGTTATATTTATCTAAATGTGAATCTACCTAGATCTGTCCATAAAGTATGTAAATCGACTTCGAACAAATATAAATAGGTCATCCGTTGGGCTATACCTGTACTTCTAGAAAACGCAACTACGTAATTCTATGCTCAATTTTGTACGTTGTGCAAAATTTGATGTGAATCTGACTAACATGAGGAGTTTGATGCCCAATTTACTTGAAATCGGGCGAAAATATATATGGAAGCTCTATCCAAATATTAAGCGATTTCAAACACACTTGTCACAGGTTAGGTTATACTAATTTTAGAACATTTTGTTCCTATTGGTTCCTTGGTGCGTAAATTACTTAAAATCAATCTATAAGGCAGGCATCACTCTAGGCACAATTCAGTACGTTATGCCAAATTTCGTGCAAATCGAAGGATATATAGGGACTTTGGGGCACCATTTACATGAAATCGGACGAAACTATATATGGGAACTATATCTAAATCTGGACCGATTTTCACGAAACTTGACAGGCATCATTCTAGGCTCAATTCAGTACGTTATGCCAAATTTCGTGCAAATCGAAAGATATATATGGACTTTGGTGCACCATTTACATGAAATCGGACGAAACTATATATGGGAGCTATATATAAATCTGGACCGATTTTCTTGAAACTTGGCAGACATCACTCTAGGATTAATTCAGTACGTTATGCCAAATTTCGTGCAAATCGAAAGATATATAGGGACTTTGGTGCACCATTTACATGAAATCGGACGAAACTATATATGGGAGCTATATATAAATCTGGACCGATTTTCACGAAACTTGGCAGGCATCATTCAAGGCTCAATTCAGTACGTTATGCCAACTTTCGTGCAAATCGAAAGATATATAGGGACTTTGGGGCACCATTTACATGAAATCGGACGAAACTATATATGGGAGCTATATCTAAATCTGGACCGATTTTCTTAAAACTTGACAGACATCATTCTAGGTTTAATTCAGTACGTTATGCCAAATTTTGTGCAAATCGAAGGATATATAGGGACTTTGGGGCACCATTTACATGAAATCGGACGAAACTATATATGGGAACTATATCTAAATCTGGACCGATTTTCACGAAATTTGGCAGGCATCGTTCTAGACCTAAATGATTAGGCTGTACCAAATTTCGTGCAAATCGAAAGATATATAGGGACCGTTTACATTAAATCGGTTAAATATATATATGGGAGCTATATCTAAATCTGAACCGATTTTTCCCAATTTCAATAGGGTTCGTCCTTGGGCCAAATAAGTGACCTATGCCAAATTTCATCCAATTCGGATCATAAATGCGACCTGTACTTTGTTCATAAAAATACATGGACAGACAGACAGACGGACGGACGGACATGCATAAATCGACTTAAAAAGTGATTCTATGCATATTCTCAAAAGGAACCATGTGTCTATCTCGTTTCCTTTTGCCTGTTACAAACATATGCACAAAGACATAATACCCTGTACCACAGTGTGGTGAAGGGTATAAAAATTAATTCTTTTTTTCGAAAGACCTCTCAAGATGATTTTCTTTTATGGGCGGTCTCCCAACTAGATTGGATTCTTTAATCATTTTTTTTTTTAAAAATCTATCAAAAAGTATAGATTCAAAACGGGGATTTTTTTGAATATTTTAAGGGTCAATTATAAGGGTAGATTTTTTTGAACATATAAAACGTAACTATTTTAAAAATATTTTTAGTGGATTTTTCGAATGTAGTATTTTTAGAGGTCTGCTATGAGCTTGGAATTTAAAAAAATATAAACTTCGTTTTTTCCAAGTTTTTTTTAACAGGTCAGCTATAACCGAGAGTTTTTGGAAAAACATATTTTTTAGTGTTCAGGTATAAGCCTGGATATTTTAAAAGTATTTTTAGGGCTAGATTTAAGCGCCAGGGCAAGATTTAAGCGTAAAGTTGTTGGCAACACTGTATGTTGGTATAGTAGTTGGCAATAAGAATGACATTTAGTTAACACCTTCTCCATTACACGAGTGCTCAGGCACAGGTTGTTGGGAGCAGCGAAAGAGAGTATTTAGTTGATCTATGGAATCAATGGTAATGGGATTAGCAGCATCATCGCGTTTCACAAAAACGAGCCCGCGTTAAGTGAAAGCAGCTGATATAAATTTTTTTTTATGTTTAGTGCTGTTTTTAGAATTTTGTAGTAGGTGTTAGTGAGGTCCTCATTAATGAAGAAAGAGACATCGGTGTGTCGAAAACTCATCATTTTTGAGTGACAGTTTCGATAACTTATCGGTTGTTACAGTTTTGTTGTGTTGTTTGTAGCGGCCATATTATCATTTATGGCTTTTTTCAAACCCACATTCAAATTTATAAATTGTGCTAATAAGACACCGTAAAAACGAAATATATTAGTAACCAGTAAGGAAAGTAGTAAAATCGGACGGAGCCGACTATATGATACCCTTCACCAATTTAGGTATATTCAACAGATGAATCCTTACAGACGTCGCATTTTTAAAGGACCAGTGAAATGAAATTGGATCCATAAACATGTCATTCTGCAATTCATTACGCTGTGCCAAATTTCGTGCAAATCGAAAAATATATATAGGGACTTTCGTACAACATTTACCTTAAACCGAACGAAAATATATATGGGAGCTATATCTAAATCTGAACGGATTTTCAGGAAACTTAACACACATCATTCTAGACCTAATCCATTTCGCTATGCCAAATTTCGTGCAAATCAAAAGATATATAGGGACTTTGGTGCACCATTTACCTTAAATCGGACAAAACTATATATGGGAGCTATATCGAAATCTGAACCGATTTCCAGGAAACTTGGCACACATCGTTCTGCACCTAATTTAGTACTCTATGCACAAATTTCATGCAAATTGAAAGAATAGAGGGACTTTGGTGCCCCATTTACCTTTAATCGGACGAAACTATATATGGGAGCTATATCTAAATCTGAACCGATTTTTCCCAATTTCAATAGGGTTCGTCCTTGGGCCAAATAAGTGACCTATGCCAAATTTTATCCAAATCGGATCATAAATGCGACCTGTACTTTGTTAACAAAAATACATGGACGGAAAGACAGACGGACGGACAGACGGACATGTGTAAATCGACTCAGAAAGTGATTCTATGCATATTCTCAAAAGGAACCATGTGTCTATCTCGTTTCCTTTTGCCTGTTGCAAACATATGCACAAAGACATAATACTCTGTACCACAGCGTGGAGAAGGGTATAAAAAGAATTTGGTTGAAAAACGCGTTCAAGAACCCAAAAAAACCGAAAATTGGGGCTAGGCGAAAAATTTACCTATATTTCTAAGTCCCTATATATCTTTCAATTTGCACGATATTTAGCACAGAGTACTGAATTAGGTCCAGAATGATGTGCGCTAAGTTGCGAGAAAATCGGTTCAGATTTAGATATAGCTCCCATATATATTTTCGTCCGATTTAAGGTCAATGGGGCTCCAAAGTCCCTATATACTTTTCGATTTGCACGAAATTTGTCACAGAGTACTGAATTAGGTCCATAATGACTTGTGCTAAGTTGTGCGAAAATCGGGTCAGACTTATACATATATAGCTCCGATATATTTTCGTCCGATCTAAGGTAAATGGGGCTCCAAAGTGCCTATATATCTTTCGATTTGCACGAAAGTTGGCATAGGTTACTGAATTAGGTCCAGAATGATGTGTGCTTAGTTTCGTGAAAATCGGTTCAGGTTTAGATATAGCTTCAATATATAATTTCAACCGATTTAATTTAAATTGTGCACTAAAGACCCCATGATTGGCCGATTGGCAAACAATTTTGTACAATGTACTGTTACTATAACCTTTCGTGTGTCAAGTTTTCTTGAAATTGGTTCAGATTTACATATACCTTCTATATATATTTTCGTCCGATTTTATGTAAATGGTACACTAAAGGCCCATACAGACCCATACACGTACAGAAATTAATAAAAATCTCGCAAGTCTCCTTGAAATCGGTTCAGATTAGCTTCCATATGTAGTTTCGAACTATTCATGTTGACTGTACACCAAATAATCAATGGGTGCCTGATTGATACGTTTTAAGCAGTGCGTGTGCTTTAAATCTATTTACAAAATTTGGAATAGGTTGCAGAATGGCATGTGTTGGAATTGATGTTAGTCGGTTTACTTATAGATAAAGATCGCATATTTAAGTTCGTTCAATTTCATGACAATGTTTCTTAGAAAAGGCTAACAGACGTCTGTTAAGATACATATTCTACATATGTATCCCCAGTGGTGAAGGGTATCATATAGTCGGCCCAGTCCGACTTTTGAACTTTCCTTACTGGTATTTTTTTTTTAAATTTGCACGAAATTTTGCAAATTCAATTTAGATATAGTTCTCATATATATTTTTGTCCGATTTTACGTAAATGGTCTACCAAAGTCCCTATATATCTTTCGATTTGCACGAAATTTGACACGGAGTATTGAATTAAGTCTAAAATGATGTGTGGCAAGTTTCGTAAAAATCGTTCCAGATTTCGATATGTACCTCCAATATATATTTTCTTCCGATATTAATGTTCCTTCGAGGGAACATTGACATGAAATTGTTAGGATACATATGTACAATATAGCCAAAGTGGTGAAGGGTGTCATATAGTCGGCCCAGTCCGACTTTATTACATTCCTTACGGGTTTGTTTTATTTACAATTTTATTTATTTATAATTTTTTTTGTATTTTTTTTTTATTATTTATTTATAAATTTTTTCCCCTTTAAAACGCGTTCTTCAG